GCAAAGGATGTTGCTGAACAAACAATAAAGGATGCAGCACAGAAATCTACAACTCCAAGACTGAGGACGGTGGAAACAGCACATATGAAGTTTGTATTTTTGGTGTCAGCAAGTGATGTTCTATCATATGCAACCTAAACGAAGTTCATAATACTAAAAATAAAAAAATTAATCATATTGTCCCAGACCACCTTGCTGATCAAGTTAAATTCATTGGAAATCTGTTTCAATTTTTCTAATGACCATAGAGATTATATAAGAAGAGAATGGGCATTGTGGGAAAAATCGAGGGATAAATTGAAGCCTCCTAATAAGGGCAAATAAGCAAAATAATCACCTGAATAATATTTATTCCAAAATTATTACCCGTGAAAAATAACCCTAATTGTTGCGAGTGAAACTTTAGATGCAGGTCTATATATTGCACGAAGCTGCCACAAACAGGATCACAGGACAACAGGATCTTATTAAAAATTGTGGAAAAGATTGTGTTGCCATTGAGGTCAAGTACCATATAATAAGTGATACAGTAATTATACTAACTATTTGTATGGACAGGATAAGACATCATGTGAAACTTCAATGGTTTTGTACAACATGGGATATGATGATAATCACAGCGCTACACGTCCATATTGAATGAGCTACAAATTCTGTATCATGCTTCTATATTGCTTAAGAAAAAGAGAAAAAGCTAGCCACTATGAAGGGGCTTGAGGTCCCTTGGCTACCTGTAGCTGAATAAATAACTTTACTATGAATTTCTTGTAAAGAAGTTACTTCATAGAGTGGAATTAATAGCGGATTTTCGATGTTCAGTGATATTGCCTGTTGAGTAATATTGTGCCTGTTGAGTAATAATTAAAGCTTGTAAGGAGTCATGGCTTGCTTGTGTGAAGCGTGCATTGGTAAAATTTGGCCATGTAATATCAGAACTACTCCAAAAGAACTGTCTGATCATGATAAAATTAGTTAGTCTGGCAACATATGTAACAGATTTCATTTTCTAGGTTTCTTTCAAAGGCTTGAGATGACAGGTAAACAATTTGAATTTTTTAGTCGCACTTTAGTTTTCTGACTTGCATAACCACTTTAATTCACACACTTTGGTGTACAATTTAAAGTACAAGTGCAAAGTAAGCCCTTCCCCTGCATACAGTCTGTCAATATAAGCTTTACTGGAGAAACAAAAATGCTGACTCAGCATTTTTTAAAAACTTTGGAACGTGATATCTCGGTAACGAACGACTGAAAGTTATCAGTGTTATATAGTTTTTTTGTCCAATTATGCACATCAATCTGATGGCATTAAACATTTTTCGAAATTCGAATATTTTTACCTTTCGGAACTATAGATGACGTCATCGCCAGAATATAGTCGATTTCTCATTGTTGTGCACACTTACGACCGGGGGCTTTTTTATTATTTAATTTCGCATGCTCTTCTATTACTTTATGAAAGAAATCATTAGCCTCCCAATGTGTGCAACGAAAATCACTTTCTAGGCATATTTTTAGCCTTATGTGACGGCCTTCTATAGTAATTTGTATCACTCTGTGGTCCCCAGAACTCCTAGACCGGAAGTGATTTTCGCATATATAATTAGGCTTCACTTTTGACACCTATATCACTATATAGAAGCGATTTTAACGAGCTCTTGGCTTATGCACTTCAACAATTTTAGTCCGTATTCATTTCCAACTACCAAATTAACTGACAGGATGCCATTGTTGGAAGATGGAAGGTGTTAAATCGTTTTAACCCGAACCTAGCCTGAAAACAGACCTACGTTTCGCCCGCCCTAAATGTTGCCGAGGGAAAGGGCGAAACGTAGGTCTGATGAAAATGTTGTCAAAATCGCTTTCCGCCCACTTTGCATTTTGTAATAATTAACGATGATGATTGACACATTTATTGTAACACCTAAAAATACAATGAAAGTTGTTGATTTCATTTTATTGAAAATTTGTAAACAAAGTCGATAAGTACAGATGTTTGAATAAATATTTAAAATATTGGTAACCTCATGCACTCTGTTGGTTTTATATACTCGACTAAATTCTTGTAAGCAAACAGTTACAGCTAGTAATAATACAATATTTTCAACACATTCTAATGCGATAAAATCTGCCTACGCAAATTTGGCAATGGCCGTGTCCCATTGTTGAATTGCATCCCAACTCTTACAATTTGTGAATTTATACATATAATTTTGAAATCGTCATATAATGGTAAAATCAAAATAAAATATTGTGTACGTGCTATGTTATCAAAGTGTAAATCATGAATGTGCTATTGTATTGCGCTGACACACATATTGATATATTTGTATCATTGTATCAGTTTTATTATGATTAATCACAAAACTTAGCTCATTTAGAATTATTGTATTGTATATTACAACGGAAAGACACAACGCTGAAGTATTTGACGCGTACTGCACTACTTAGTCTGCGAACCCAGACGTAATTTCCTCGTTTCTCACTTGGTTATTTTCCGAGCGAGAAATGAGGAAATTACGTCTCGGTTCGCAGACTACACTCTACTCCCCTCTAGTTTTAATTTTTAGACAGTAGATACTCACTGATAGACTAGTTGTCGTTCGACCTCACAAAATATTTAGAATATTACTCTATATGCATAGTATATATTTATATGCGTTGATTTACCGTTGAAATATATTCTGATTTCTGATCTTTTCAAATCTTTTCATGTTAGCGACCAACCAATCACAACCAATTTCACTGTGAATTAGCCAATCAGCTTTGTCGACCGCCTGGTGGTCGACTTACATGCACTTTTGACAACATTTTCATCAGACCTACGTTTCGCCTTTCCCTCGACCCGCAAATTTTAGGGCGGGCGAAACGTAGGTCTGTTTTCAGGCTAACCCGAACCCTAACCCAAACCAAATTAGTGAAGAAAATCCAAAAAGAATCAAATTAAAAAATGCGAAAATGACGTAAGGTCAGGTGAGTGAAAACCAACAATTTTGCAGTAAAATTTAATATGTTCAGAACTTAATTTCCATGTGAATTGAATTGAGATTTATGGGAAAAGGATTTCCGCAAACGATTTTACTGAATTCTGCAAATGGCTATTCTGGCTATTCTATAAAGCAAATGGCTATTCTATAAAGAGCATTCTGCAAATGGCTATTCTATAAAGAGCATCTGCCCAGGCAAGACAACTGAAAATCTGAAATCCAAATTATAAGCTCATGTCGACCTGTGCGTTAGTTATGTAATGACGATATTCCTCAATCCTAATTTATAGTACGTACCACTTAAAGCTCTTTCATCCATCTGATTCCCGGGACTCACAGGTTTAGAACTCAACGCAGATGTCGAAAACGACGGCTGCCCAAACGTTCCTTGGCCATCGCTGGACACAGAATCGATATTCTCCTCTTGTTGCTCGGCATTAATGGGAGATTTCTCCCTTTCGCCTTCCATACGAGCAAAACCTTCACAAATGTAGCCTACATTCGAACGATATTGTTAAAATTCTTTGCTCTCAATGTATAAAGCTTCTCATTGAATTAAACATCAAATCGAAAGTGAATCAACAATCTAATACCTGGAAATCAAGGGTTTTCCAAGAAATTTGACCCGGAAGCGGGCCTTGGACAATGACCTCTATATGCAACTGGAGGGAGTGTATCTAAAAGTCGAGAGTCGAGAGTATAGCCATACGGCATAGGTCGAAAGTCGACAGCGAAATGTCGAGTCGAGAGTCGATAGAATAAAGTTGAGAGTCGACAGAAAAAGTCGAGAGTCAGCAAATGTTATCAGAAACAACAAAGTCAAAATATTTTAACACAATAATATATGGCCGGCAGTTCAAGAAATGGCTTGTGCCTTAGAAGATTGATCATTTCTGTTCGACGGTTTGGAAGCAAATGACAAATGAGTAGTAATAGACCCCACTCTGGAAACGGAAGTAATTAGTTGCAAACTTAGGTGTGGGAAGTAATTAGTATGCAAAATTTATGACATCACTTTGTTCAGCTAACACTCTGGCGGAATTTATAATGAGCTTGCAAAATCTATAACGCCAGGTAGCGCGACCAATTAGCGCGGGCAGGCCTGGGCCAAATAACACTTTGCTGGGCAAGCCTGTGCCAAATGTGACAGGTAATGCGACCAAATGTCCGAAACAGTCGTTAAGCAGAGCTCGGAATTTTCAGTACAAAAGACAACGCTTGCTGTAGCTATATTGCCATTTCGCTGTGAAAGCCATACGATGGAGTGTCTGCATGGAAAAGCCACATCTTACAATTTATTGGAAGGAATATATGCGAATGCAGTCGCACAAGAAGTGGAAAGATTTTGTGTGGAATCCTGTAATAGTTGTCAAGTCTGTCATCCTAGTCAAAGGCAACATGACTGCCTCATGATGAACGAAAACGAACGATGGCAAATGTATGGTTTACAAGCGATCGAACGAGTGAATGCCAAGCGCATGGTTTGGTATGAATTCGCTGAGGCAATGAGGGTACTAAAACTGGCGGTTGACAGAGATGTACTCGAACATTTACAGCAACTGGACTGAAGATCCAGATTCTACGTTTGTCGATTCATTGATGGAACTACATCAGAACACTGAGAACCACGAACTACAATGTATACTGAACTATTTGTTTCATTGGAGTTTAGAAGATCCGCTCGAGTCAACAGCTGAAGCGTTTTTCTCTTGCCCACCGAGTTACATGTATTATGTAAAGGCGACGGGTGAACGATTTAGAAGTTTTGAGGCCGATCATAAAATTGCTTATCAAGGATTCTTGGAGAAAAAACTTGTAGAACAGTTTAACAAACAGTCTTAGCTGTAATTTTTTTGACACTATCATCTGTTATTTGTATCAATAAACATGTTTTAAAACTTTACTAGAAAATACATGCATGCAGAAACCCTCGCCTTGCTGACAAAACCATTGTATTTTCCGAACATGAAGTATGTAAAGTAGTTGTCATGGTAACACGATAATTTTTTAAGAATATTCTTACAAATGAAAAATCGCCTAAAAATATCACTTTTAATTACAAAATTATTAATTTCCCAACATATATATGTTAGGTATGTTATTATACGTAATATAAGCCCCAATTTAAGGTAAAATTCAACCACAAACGCTTCGCAAAACGTTTAAAAGTGACTATACTTCCGTATAGACTACAGTGTTATAAAACTATAAAACTGCCTTTTAAAATGGCTTTATCGATAAACTTTGAGTTTGCAAATAACTTTGCTTTCTTTTTTATTTAAAAAAATCAATATCATAAGAAAGGAATCAATATTAAAGATACACTGAAAGTGAAATTATATGCTGTTTTGTTTAGTTGTTTCATATATGCAAAGGCCGTCGGGTTTTAAATCCATTATAAAATCAATATTTAAAACAAACTTACCTTCGTTAACGTCGGCTCCCTTCTTTTAGCCGATTCTTTCGCAGTTTCTTTCTCAGAGAGCTTTTGAAATTTACAAAATCTTGCAAAAATGCGAGCAAAATGAAATATATTTGCAAGAAATTTATCAATCATCAAATCCAGAAATGTTTGCTATTTCGCTGTCGTCGTGCGGTCGTTATAATGCAAACTTTAAATTGGACCAATCAGTGTCCGCTATTCATGGTAGTCCACCATATTTTTGAGATCAGTGAGGATGACCACCCAATCTGTAGAGTCTATCCAATTGTGAAAAAAGTTGCGCTTGAGTTTTGGTCGTTCCACTTCTGTTGGTGGCGGTGTAAGGAAATTAGGTTTTGGTGATGGTATTTCATTTCGCTTCCATGATTTCTTTCATTCTCTGTTCGGCATCATAAATTGAATTTAAAAGTGGTGGTTGTTGATACGACTGTTTTTGTATAAACTTTGCAATCTCGCCGGGAAGTACATTGGTCTTAAGTCGATCTTGATCACTCGTTGTTGGCTTTAAATCCAACATCACATACCCGTGAGGGCGGCTCGTAGCATCTTCATAACTCCTCATAAATTCTTGTACTCTTCCAGGATCTACTTGCCTTGCAAGAATAGAAATTTGCTGTTTATCTCTTGGTGACTTGAACAACATGACATAATGAGCATTAAGGCTGATATTTCTTATTTCTTTGCCCTGATGAAATATATTTTGAACAATATAAATGATAGACAAATTTCGATGATGACTTCCTTTCTTAAAAAGATCAGCAATACGTTTATCCTTGCTAGATTGAGCCATGAGATCGTCCAATACAATCAAATTCCGTTGCGATACGTCCAAGTAATCTGCGTTGTCGATGTCTACGGGGATGCCTTGATTGAATTCGATTCCTGGCATCGTTCTCATCATATCAAAATAGGAGGGTTGCCATTGACCATAACACCAAATGATACGTTGAGGAGGTGGACTTATAGTTTTCTGTGCATTCTCCAAGAGAGATTTTATCCATACAGTCTTGCCGCTTTGGGTATACCCAGCTACGATACATGTGAAAGGATGCTGCATAACACTGAACCCATTGACAACAATACTGGATTGGGATAGAGTGGCAGGTCCGTGAGCTGTATTTTGGTAAAGCGAAGGGTTTCTTGAAGTTGAGAATGATTTATTACAAACTGTGCAAGAATGAGACATGTTCACTGCTCTGTGACAAAACGCCGAATGAAATTATTTTAAGATGGTAGACTATTTATAACCACTCGTGATTATTCTTAGGATTCACAGATTTAATATAGGATTCATTTTATGATTCAATGATTCAATCTATGATTCAATGATTCACTCTATGATTCAATGATTCACTCAATGATTCAATCAAGGATTCAATGATTCACTCAATGATTCAATCTATGATTCAATGATTCACTCTATGATTCAATCTTATGATTCAATGATTCAATCTATGATTCAATGATTCACTCAGTGATTAAATCTATGATTCAATGATTCACTCAATGATTCAATCAAGGATTCAATGATTCAATCTAGGATTCAATTATTCAATCTATGATTCAATGATTTACTCAATGATTCAATCTTATGATTCAATGATTCAATTATTCACTCAATGATTCACTCTATGATTCAATGATTCAATCAAGGATTCAATTATTCAATCTATGATTCAATGATTCACTCTATGATTCAATCTTATGATTCAATGATTCAATCTATGATTCAATAATTCACTCAGTGATTCAATCTATGATTCAATGATTCACTCAATGATTCAATCTATGATTCAATGATTCACTCTATGATTCAGTCTTATGATTCAATGATTCAATCTATGATTCAATGATTCACTCAGTGATTAAATCTATGATTCAATGATTCACTCAATGATTCAATCAAGGATTCAATGATTCAATCTAGGATTCAATTATTCAATCTATGATTCAATGATTTACTCAATGATTCAATCTTATGATTCAATGATTCAATTATTCACTCAATGATTCACTCTATGATTCAATGATTCAATCAAGGATTCAATTATTCAATCTATGATTCAATGATTCACTCTATGATTCAATCTTATGATTCAATGATTCAATCTATGATTCAATAATTCACTCAGTGATTCAATCTATGATTCAATGATTCACTCAATGATTCAATCTATGATTCAATGATTCACTCTATGATTCAGTCTTATGATTCAATGATTCAATCTATGATTCAATGATTCACTCAGTGATTAAATCTATGATTCAATGATTCACTCAATGATTCAATCAAGGATTCAATGATTCAATCTAGGATTCAATTATTCAATCTATGATTCAATGATTCACTCAATGAGTCAATCTTATGATTCAATGATTCAATCTATGATTCAATTATTCACTCAATGATTCACTCTATGATTCAATGATTCAATTATTCACTCTAGGATTCAATGATTCAATCTATGATTCAATGATTCACTCAATGATTCAATTATTCACTCTAGGATTCAATGATTCACTCAATGATTCAATCAAGGATTCAATCTAGGATTCAATTATTCAATCTATGATTCAATGATTCACTCAATGATTCAATTTTATGATTCAATGATTCAATCTATGATTCAATGATTCACTCAGTGATTCAATCTATGATTCAATGATTCACAATCTATAACTCATTGCTTAACAATGGCGTATGGTCGTGCTTATCTTTGCTCCGCAGAATGTTCAGATTTTCGTATAAAAAGTTTGAATCGAGACGCTTTTCTTGCTCATAAGGATGAGCTAGACTTAACCTATAATGGCAAGCGTTTAAAATGGAATAAAAACTTCGAAGATCTAAAATATTTCTTCGAGACAGTTGTTGGCCTGAACGGCAAATGAACATCGCCGGGAGGGAACTCTAAGAAGTTATCAAACTGCAAATCAAACATAACAATTATTTGGTATTATGGTAAACAAAGAACACTCCTATTCCAGGGAAAGGAAGGGTATTTGCTGAAAGACGTTTTAATAAAATTTTGTGAAGCGAACTCTACGTTAAAGTACTCAGAACCTCAATCGTCGCCTAAGCAAGCTGATTGCTATGAAGTGGCTTGCGCTGTAACTACGTCCGTTGAAAGAACTATTACACCTAACGCAGAGAATTTAACCAACTTGTCTAATATCGATGATTTAAGTAATATATCTCAGACAGATGCTCTATTTAATATATCCAAAATCGATGATATACTAACAAGCTCTGATGCTTCTACTATAAAGGAACTTGAGGGCTTTATTGACAGGTCTTTTGGAGTGCTTTTGGGCTGCCTGATTTTGCCCAACCGACGGACATGTCTACCCCATCTAACCGACACCCTAATGCAAATCTAGCCAAACTTGAATCACAATTTTTCACGTTTAAGGAAAGTGTTCAGGCACAGCTGCAAAGTTTATCTTATAAACTCTCTGAGCAGAATAACATCATTAAGTCAAATAAACAAGAACTATGTAAATTAAACTGTGAAAATTTGCTTTTAAAATCATGTATCTCAGAGTTAGAAGCGAAATTGCTGTCAACGAATACATCAAATGCGAACTGTATTTTGGATCTGGAAAGTCTAATGGTTAAAGAAAATGTTTCCCAACTGTAAATGCTGATGTCTGTATTACTTCTAGTGGCTGTTCACCTGAAACTAATAACAGTTATGGAAACGTTAATCAACCAACCGTGGACTCTGACCTTGACCCTCCAGTGTCCGAAATGAATAATCACTCAAAGGAATCAATTGAAGCGGTACAGCTCCCAATTTATGTTACCAAAGAAAAAGCAGCTACCCTAATCACTCAAGCGACCAATGATAACAGCAATATAGAACCAAATGTTGGCAAATCTTTCGTCTTAGCACCTCCACAACGAAACAATATGGAACGGTTAGGTCGCTTACCGTTGATTGAAACACTAAACCAGGCTAACCAAACTTCGTTCTGCAACACTAAAAGTAGAAGTAGTAGTGTTTTTAAAAATCGCGACACCGAGTATTATAAAGGTTGTCAGACAAATTCAAAGCCTTTAACTTCACCAAGGCATAATAACATACGTAATTCCCCTGGTCGACGCCCCTTTTTAAAACGTCAGAACATCAAACCACCATCATATCGAACATCTCATCGTCATCACTCACTAGAGTGGTTGATCCATCTGGATGTGGTGTACCGCATGATGAGACAATGAGAATACCAGTCAGAATCACCTCGCGCTACACTACCCCAAACTTTCCTGCTTCCTTTTCTACCCAGTCACGCAATAAAAACAATGTAATCAACATTATCGCCAATTCATCTTCCGCTAACCCGAGAAAGGAGTTTGTTCCAAGAATTACACTAACCAATACTATATGTCACTTGTCCCAAAAATAGATGAAGTGATCCCTTTTTGTCGAGGACAACAACACTGATCTCGTTTTTATTACTGAAACGTGGCTCACTGATGCGATTAACACTAAATACCTTCAGATACCAAGTTACAATCTAATATGTAAAAACCGTTCTTCTGGAGCACGCGGAGGTGTATGTCTCTATATCAACAACACTATTAAGTTTAATGTGCTGGAAGACCTACATGATCCTGATTTTGAAGTTCTTTGGGTCCGCATAACTCCAACTAGATTCCCCCGGAGTTATTCAAGCATTATCACTGGCACAGTATATCATCCTCCGAGTGCCGATGCCAAATCCATGTTGGAGTATCTATTCAAATCTCTTACAGAAATTGAAGGTCAATATCCAAATTGCAGGCTACTCCTAGCTGGTGACTTTAACCGTCTTGACATAAAGTCCCTCCCAAGGCAATTCAAAATGAAACAGTTAGTCCACCTTCCCACAAGAAAGGACCAAACCCTAGATTTAATTATAACAAATCTTTTCCAACATTATTCAAGCGACTCCTTCTCAATCCACCCTCCCTTCGGACTCTCTGATCATAATGTTGTTACCTTACACCCAAAAGTAAGATCTGTCGATACCCAAACCCAAAACGTAGTTCAGAAAAGAGACACTCGCCGCAAAAGCGAATTGGGGAGATATCTGTGTTCGATAAATTGGTCCCTAATCGAATCTGCATTATCCTGTGAAGATAAGAACACCTTATTTGTTAATCTTGTCAGAACTGGCTTAGACACCATTATGCCAGTCAAAGATACAAAGGTCCATGCCAACGATCCACCTTGGATTACTGCCGAATTTAAGAAGCTCATTCAAAGCAGACAACGAGCCTTCCACGAGAACAACGTTACATTATACCGAGCGTATCGTAACCGTATTAACAAAGAGAGAAAAAAGCTCAGAAGTAATTTCTTCGAAATGAAAATCAGTCACCTAAAAGAGACAACTCCATCTCTTTGGTGGAAGGAGGTTAAGCGGATCTCTGGTATGACTCCTTCGGCAGATACTAAAAAACCTAATAGAACAGCTCCATTTGGACAACGTTGAAGCCGATATCCAGGGTGTTGATCTTGCTAACAGAATTAACAACGCATTTTTAGAACCTACGCGTATTTACCAACCCTTGGACCCGACCACTATTGAAAGAGATCCCGAGCATCCGACAGCACATAGTGCTTTCGAGTTGGCAACTCAAATGGTAGTTTATAACATCCTTTCCAAACTGAATCCACGTAAAGCCTCAGGCCCGGATTGTCTTCCAAATTGGCTACTAAAGACCCATGCGGAAATTCTTGCTAGACCTATTTGTTCTATTCTCAACAGTTCTCTTCTCCAACAGAGGCTTCCATCTATTTGGAAACATGCCGATGTCATACCGGTTCCTAAACAGAAACCGATTACCATTATTAATAAACATCTTCGACCCATCTCCTTAACTCCCAATGTTTCTAAGGTTGCCGAAGAGTTTGTGGTGTCAAAATATATAGCTCCAGCAGTACTTGAAATAATCGATCCGGATCAATATGGAGCCATCCCAAAATCCTCAACGATTCATGCACTTGTTTCCATGATACATCAGTGGGCACGGGCCACCGACCGCACGGGATCAGCAGTGAGGGTAATCCTCTTTGACTACAGGAAGGCCTTTGACCTGATCGACCACCGCATTCTTATAGAAAAACTCCGCAAACTAGCTATTTCTAAAGAAATATTTGTATGGGTCGCTGATTTCCTTATGAACCGTTTTCAAAGAGTGAAACTTTCTAATAACTGTTACTCCCAATGGGCTCCAGTTTCTGCAGGGGTACCGCAGGGAACTAAAATGGGCCCTTGGCTTTTCCTGCTCATGATAAATGATCTTAAAGTGTCAGACCTGCCTAGCTGGAAATTCGTTGATGATACGACCACCTCAGAGGTCGTGCCCGTGAACTCTTCAAGTCAAGCGCAAAGGAGTGTTGATATCGTTGTGAACTGGTCCCTCCAGAATAGACTCCAACTTAACGGAGACAAATGTAAAGAAATGGTAATCGATTTTAAACGTCAGAAGCATCATCTCGACCGATTAACGATAGAAGGAAAACCAATTGAGGTAGTGCACCACGCGAAGATCTTGGGGCTTACCGTTTCAGACAAATTGTTATGGAACGATCATGTCAACAACGCAATAAAAAAAGCCAACAAACGCTTATTCTTCCGTGTCCAACTTAAACGAGCAAAAGTTCACGCGACAGATATTATTAATTTCTATTGTGCCTGCATCCGACCTGTACTGGAATATGGGGCACAGGTATTCCATTACGCCCTGCCCGAGTATCTTCAGGAGAACTTAGAACGAGTTCAGAAACGCGCATTATCCTTCATTTTTCCAGGAATCACGTATGAAGAAAGGTTAGAACTGTCAAATCTTGAAACGCTGTCCACTCGTCGCCAAAACTTGTGTGATTCACTCTTTCGATCAACGTTGACTGATAGCAATCATAAGTTACACCACCTTTTACCAAAAACAAATATACCACATCACAACTTAAGACACAATCGAGCTTACGAATTGCCTTTTATTAGCACTAATCGGTTCAAAAATACATTCGTGCCGTCATGTAGTGAACGCGGACAGTACTGGCATTTTTGAAGTATGCATGCAACCAATGTATTACTACTTTTTAACTTTCTTAGGACTTATATACGGTTTTAGATGTTTTAACATAATGTAAATTTTAATAATATATACTAATAACTTGTATACCTACGTAATTCAATCTCTGTGACTGCCATGTAGTGTTTTTAATAAATCTATCTATCTATCTATC